ATTTTAGGTAGCCAATATTTAAGTTGCCCATCCCTATCTACCCTGTGTACAAAGGGGATAGCATTAATTCTTGATGTGAAGACTCCTTCCCTCTCTGTTGATGTTTTGAGCCACTACATCCATGAGTATAGGTCAAGTTCATCAGATTGTAGCAATTTATCTCATTTCCTTTATCAAAAATAAATTTTTTTTTAAATCTTCCTCTAGTTCTGATTATCAAGTCATTGAGGCTGGGTCAGATGGGTACTATCTGCAAGTCTGGGTGTTCTAGTGCATCTCCCCTCACTTCATATCAGCTGGATGCTTAACTCTCAGTTCTAGCCCTCCGTGACTATGTCCTTGTCCATGGGTTTAGGCATCACCAGGTCTCATTACACTTTGGACCAACCTGCCCTTCCTCTTCTCTCTCTCATCTCCAGGTCAACAGGAGTCTATGGACCGTGGTTGAACTCAGCCCATTTTTTCATTGCTGCCTTTCTCCCACTTCCACTCACCAGTAGACCAGTGTGGTAGCTAGCAAGCTTATATAACTGGTCATGTCTTCTTTTTGAGTTGCAGTTTTGGAAGGTGTATTCATAAGGTTTTCAGTGACTACATATTTAGAAGTAGTCCATCTCTGCTTCTTCCCATACATAATACATATTTATTTTTGTTGTTGTTGTCATTGTTAGGTGCTATCCAGTCTGTGCCGACTCATAGCGACTATATACACAGCAGAATGAAATACTGCCCGATCCTGGGCCAACCTCACTATTGTTGCCACGCTTGAGCCGATTGATGCTGCCACTTTGCCAATCCATCTTGCTGGGGGCGGGGGGGTCTTCCTCTTTTTCTTTGACCCTCCACCCTGTCAAACATGATATCCTTCTCCAGTGACTGGTTCCTCCTGACAACATGTCCAAAGTATGAGAGACGAAGTTTGGCCATCTTGGCCTCCAAGGAGCACTCTGGCTGCACTTCTTCCAACACACAGATCTGTTGGTTCTTTTGGCAGCCCATGGCACTTTCAATATTCTCCTCCAACACCATAACTCAAAAGCATCAATTCTTCTACGGTCTTCCTTATTCACTGTCCAGCTTTCGCATGAATATGAGGTTATTGAAAACACTATGGCGTGGGCCAGGCGCACCATAGTCCTCAAGCTGATATCTTTGTTCTTCAACACTTTAAAAGGTCTTGTGCAGCAGATTTGCCTAATGCAATATGTCATTTGATTTCTTGACTGCTGCATCCATGAGACTGCTGCATCCATGAGTGTTCATTAAACTTCGTTAATGGTGACTTTTAACCTGCTGAACTACCCACCTCTCTTCATCTGATTTAACTTCATAATCTCAGTTCCTTAGTGCAGAACTTGACATATACTGGATGCTTAATAAATTCTGTTTCAGTTGAAATGAATTCTTTCAAGATTGGCTACTCTTCCACAATAGGAGTGTATCCTTTAAATGTAAAACGTTATGGTAGGTTGCTATGCAGCTTTGACTAGAATTTCTTGGTTGATAAGTTCATCATCTCACAAAGTATTCTGCTGGATTCCTCTGCTTAGACCGTGGTTTCTAGTTGAAACAAGATAGCTTCCCTTATGAATAGCTCTGTGAAGAGTTCATCCCTTTGGAACAATGCAGGGCTAGTTTACTCTCTCTTCTGCTTGCTCTTCCTCCAAATTTTGGAAAGTAGCCTTCATAACCCCCAGTGCTTTCTAATTTATAAATTCAGACTGGATCAAATGGGTACTATCTGCAAATTTGGGTGTTCTAGTGCATCTCTTTAAACATGTTTCATCAAATATGGCTTCTAGACATTTTAAGAGTTCACTTTTAAATGTACTCTAGTTTGGTGGTGCTGGTTGTTAAGTGCGGTGGAGTCAGTTCTGATTCATAACAACCCTGTTAGGGGTTTCTGAGATTATAAATCTTTGCAGGAGCAGAAAACCTCAACTTTCTCCCACAGAGTGGCTAGTGGCTTTGAACCACCAACCTTGTGGTTCACAGTCCAGTGCTTATCGTACAGAGGCACCGCACTCCCAAGTTTGGTGACTCCTCCTAAAATGAGGTGCTCTGAACTGTGTTCATGTTGTAGATTTGGTTTTTCCTATATAGACTGTTTTTTCGTGTACAGATCTGTACATTGTTTATGGAAAAAACAAAAACCTCTTTTGAATTTGTTAGTAATTTTCTTACGACGTTTCCTGCCTTGGATGGCAGTTCTTCCTTTAGGATATTTCTTCTTTTTCTTCTAGTTGCAGACCATTCTCTGCTTGAAGGAGACAGAAACAAAATAGATGTCAAATATCTCTTCATTCTCTTTGTCATCTAGTAATTTTATTGTACTTTTGCACACTCATGGTGCTTTTGCTCTTCTTGCTTACGGAACCTGTTTTTGTTTTGTTTTGTTTTGTTTTGAGGGGGGAAGGGGTGAAGTGATTTTGTGTTTCTACCCAAGTGTCTGCTTGCTTTGTAATGGCACAATGTTAGGTATGTATGTGTCTTTGATGTATGTGCTCTCCTTGCATCATTTTAAATGGCTTAAAAAAAATCTGATCCCAACAAGAGAATTCTCTTTGATGTCCTATTGATTTCTGTAACAACCTCCTCTTTCTTCGTCTCTGTCTTATTCGCATTGCCTGAATTTCAGTTTTTGCTTTATAGTTATGGGATCAATATGTACTGTACACTAATGCTTTGCTAAAAGTTTTGCTTGTATACGTTTTTTTTAATGGCTAAGCAATTATTTTGTCTAGTGTTTTTTGAGTCTGCACATCTATAGTTTGCACATCTATTTTCCTTCCCCCTTACTCCACCCCTTGGCTTGTGTGTGTGTGTGTGTGTATGCAATTAATATGCTCCAGAGCGAAATGATATTTCCTCTTAAAGTGTTATCATAGGCTTTCTTTCTGGTTTTAATTAAGTTCAGATTAGCTGTTTCCCTTTGGGTTTCTTTTCTCCAGAGTGAAGTCATTTTAGTAAAACGGAAGTAAATTTATCAGCTGTCCAGCTTGTATCTGATTAGGACTTTCAGGAGATGTAAAGATAGTAGAAAGCCCCATTAATCTTTCTGTATCTGGTGTCCAGGCCAGTCTGACATGTTGTACGAGAGAAACCACAGTCATTCGTCCTTTGGCCTCTGTGGTCTAGTGTACTCTCACCAGTATTGGTTTCTCTTTCTTGGAGGTAATCACAACTATAGTCAAGGGACAAATCTGGCAATTGTAGGTGTCAGAGGAGCGGAAACCTCACCCAGCTTGTCTCCTGCTCTGTTCTTCGTGTTTGGGTAGCACAGAGAGCACATTATTTGGAAGTATTTGTTAAATGGATAATGAAACAATTCATTTCTAGTAATAGAGTCTTCTGAAGTGGTGAGAATGTGATATTTTTGTAACTCAAGAACAATATACTCAATGACTGACTATAAACTCCTTAGAAATCCTCATGCACTTATATGGAGATCTGTTGCTTCTGTTCATGCTGAAGACCGCACAGTGCTTTAGACATCTGGAATCATGGTTTTCTAAGTGGATTTTAGAAAGTGGCTGTGTTTTTTTATCTGGCAACAATCGATTCATATGTCTTTATGATGCAGTTTCTAAAATTTCTAGAATTTTTAGAAAAATTCCATTATCTTTTAATTTCTTCTTCCCATGAGCTTTTTAAAAGAACCCCCTTCATATAATAAACAAACAAAATCCAACAACGAACCAACACTGCTCGTTTCAGACCTACAGTTTGACTAATAAGAATGCAGAAATAAAACCAAATTCTTGATAGATTTATTCCTTCTGTACATGTTTTTGGTGGTTTAGAACTTCCTGAAGGTTAAGATAGCATGTCGGATGATTGTATTATCCATTCCCAGCTAATTCTATTTCCCTCCACTGTCCATCTCCTCTTCTCTCTTCCCTTAGGTGCAGAGCCAAATGAGGAGCAGAGTCTGAGATCTAATAACATTGCAGAGCTGAGCCCTGGAGCAATCAATTCCTGCCGAAGTGAATACCACGCAGCGTTCAACAGTATGATGATGGAGCGCATGACCACAGATATCAATGCACTGAAGCGGCAGTACTCTCGGATTAAAAAGAAGCAACAGCAGCAGGTTCATCAGGTGTATATCAGGGCAGGTAATGCATTTCTTGGTTTGAATCCTGAATATCACTTCCACCATCTTAGCTTGTGAAAGGAAGAACCAGTAGTTCTTAGGATGGCCTTGGGATTACTACCAGTAGTGCGGCATCAACAAACAGCTGGCATGACATAATAGCATTATTTAGCATCTCGTTTTTATTTTATCTTATCAGGCTCTAAAGAAGAAAAAGACCGTGGGCTCTTTTTAGGTCCCAAGGACCAGGCATTTGATGGTATTGAACAAATCTTTGCTATGTGCGATTTATTATAATGTGAGAAGGGTGTACACATGATTTGAATGTTGCAAAGCTTTGCAGTCCTTGGACTTGAGAAATTTTGGAGCTGTTGTCTCATAAATTTGATGCATCTGAAAATTGGATATCCTCATCCAGGCACGACTAAGTTAAGATATACACTAGTTGTGTTGTTGTTGTTAAGTGCCATTGACTCTGTTCCAACTTATAGTGACCTTGCATAGTGTTTCCAAGGAGTGGCTGGTGAGTTTGAACCGCCAACTTGAAACCTTGCGGTCCAGCGCTTATCCTACAGTGCCACACCACAAACTAGGGATCCACACTAATTGTGTAAGTAGCAGTCTAACAGTTGTGGAGCCTTTGTGGAGCAGTTACATGCTTGGCCGCTTAACTGAAAGGTTGGCAGTTTGAACCCAGCAGTGGTTCTGTGAGAGAAAGATCTAGCAGTCTGTTTCTGTAATACTACATCCAAGGAAACCATATGGGACAGTTCTATTCTATCATATATAGGAGCTCTGGTAGCGTAGTGGTTACGAATCGGGCTGCGAACCTTAAGGTCAGCGGTTCGAAACTACCAGCAGCTCCGCGGGAGAAAGATGAGGCTTTCTACTCCCGTAAAGATTTACACCCTCGGAAACCCTGTACAGGGTCGCTATGGGTCGGACCCGACTCAACGGCACTTAACAACAACAACAACAACAACAACATGAGTCAAAATCGACTCGATGGCATCCCCAAATAACAATAGAACAGATGCTACGGTCAGAGAAATAGAAAAAGCTTGTGTTCACGGATAGGTTAGCAGTGTCTTGGGAGTCTGCTGAGAAAGTACAATTGTAGTATAGCTGGGGAGTCCCTGAATGGTGTGGATAGTTAACAGTCTTGGCTGCTGACCAAAAGATTGGAGGTTTGAGCCACCCAGTGGTGCCTCAAAAGAAATACTTTGTGATCTGCTTCTGGGGGGAAAAAAAGTCATCCAATGCAAAATTCTGGAGCATAGTTTGACTCTGACATATATGGGTCATCCTAAACTGTAATCCACTTGACAGCATTTGGTCGTGCAATTGGATAGATACGCTCTTTTCCAAGGATTGTCAAGCTACTGCTGTCCCTCCCTTTACAAAAACAAAACGAATTCCTCAAATCCTAGTGAACAATCTGCTTTATTATTTAATATATATTGATTTGGGGGTTGATTTGTCTTGTTCTAAGTAAATATCCTAATGAAAATTATATATATTCAGCGTTAACCAAGATACAAATTTGGCATGCTTTTAAGAGACTTAAGGGCATGTGACTGACTGTGCACAGAAACTAAATTTACCTTCTGTTTATTGAGGAGAAATTGGCAACTTCTTGAAGATCCCTACTTTCTCCTGAGTCATCAAGAAAGCAATCACAAAAAGAAACTGAACAATTTTAATGCTTTAATTTTCAAAACATTTTCACACATACTTTTTAAATTTTGTCTGTGAGGAAGGCAAGAACCAATACTCTTTTTTAAAATTTTTAAATTTTTAAAAAAGTTTTTATTGAGGGAAAGTTTATAGGGCAGATTATCAGTTTTACATTCAACAAATCATACACTTTGTTTCACTACAATGATTATAATCCCCACCATGTACCATCAGTTAACAGTATTTCTCTCTATTCATTTTAGCTCTTTTTTTTTGTTTAAACATTCATGCATATATAATAATTTACACCACCAAAGGGCACAGTCTGCAAGTCTGCCTCCTGGCCACCATGAATCTAGAGTCCTCAGCTGTCCCTCTCTCCATGTCCCCATCTCTGCCTCCATCTCTGGTGTCCCTGCTTCTCTGGATAAGGTCCTGCATTCTGCTTGTGCGCTTCTCCCTTGATGGTCCTAGGGTCCTCTGTTTCTGGACTGTAAGATTAACCGCTCCCCTGTTTTTATTATAAAACTTCCACCTTTACAATTGTGACAGTCACAATTAGTCATGGTAACAATTATTCACTATTGAATCATACGACTCTTATCCCCATCTCTTTTCACCAGGCCCATCTAGACAAGATGACAGCTATTCAGTGGGGTATCTTTCTTTCCCCCCGTACTCTTAAACTAGACTCCTTTTTGAAACCTTGTATAAGCCTGTCACTTTGTGCCTTTATTGCCCCCTCATTTTAGGTAGCCAGTGTCTAAGTTGCCCATCCCTATCTACCCTGTGTACAGAGGGGATAACATTGATTCTTGATGTGAAGACTCCGCCCCTCTCTGTTAGTATTTTGAGCCACTACATCTGTGAGTAAAGGTCACGTTTATCAAATCGTAGCAATTTACCCTTGTTGCCAAAAAAATTTGTTTTTGTTGTCATCTTCCTCTACTTGAGTTCTGATTATCAAGCCATTGAGGTTAGGTGAAATGGGTACTGTCTTCAGGTTTGGGCATTCTTGTGCATCTCCCCTCACTTCATATCAGCTGGATGCTTCACTCTCAACTCTAGCCCTCTGTGGCTGTGTCCTTGCCCATGGGCTCAAGTTTCCCCAGGTCTCACCACACTTTGGACCAACCAGCCCTTCTTTTCCCTCTCATCTCCAGGTCAACGGGAGTCAATGGACTCAGCCCATTTCTCCTTTGCTGCCTTTCCCTCTCTTCCACTCACCAGTAGACCAGTGTGGTCACCAGCAAGCTTACATGCCTGTTCGTGTGTTCCCTTTGAGTTTCAGTCTTAGAGGAGAGTTTGTCCTGAAGGAACTTGATTGCTTGCCTTGAGGGCTTCCTGGTGAACAACTTGCTTATTCTTGTAGTAGCCATTCATGCTGACATTTTTGTTTTGGGTTTTTCCTGATGATCTTTCTTTGAAAATGTATCTTCTGTCACTGTAGCTGTTCCAGGCTGGTCTGCTTGTTCTTGCTAGTGGGATGTCCCACCTCATAAGGTTCTGAATGGGACGCAGGATTCCACCTAAGGTCCTATACCGTGCAAAGGCTTTGCAAGAGACCTATTTCACTGGGCAAGTTCTAGAACCCCTTTTAGGTATTCCAGTCAGTTATAGGCTGAAGACTGGCGTATAAGTTTTCTGTAATCATGTTTCCCAACCGCTCAAGTGTCTATTTTACAATAGTAGGCAAGGGAAACTAATATTCCTTCCCCAACATCTGAACTAAACCCCCTCATCCCAACCTCACTGCTGTGGTTACCATTAACTCTTCCCTCCATTTAAGACAGTCTATTTTATCCTGTAATCTACCTGACCTTCTCACCACCTGGATCTTAGTTTCTCTGTGTTTACCTTCTTTCACATTGTAATTGTTTTGATTATAGGCTGACCTCCCAGATCCTCTGTTCTTATCATTTTATTCTGTTCTTGACTCTTCCATTTGTCGATTTAGTTCAGGGTGATGCTGCCACGTACATCATTCTCTGGTTGTTGTCTGTTCTTGTCGGTTCTCTGTCCACAGAACTTCCTTTAGGATGTTTTTCATATCAGGGTTGGCTTTGGCAAAATCCCTTAGCTTCTGTTTATCATGGAATGTTTTGATTACACACTCATATTTGATTGACAGCTTTGCTGGGTAGAAGATTCTTGGGTGGCAGTTTTTTTCTTTCAGGGTTTTATATATGTCTCCCCATTGCCTTCTTGCCTGCATGGTTTATGTTAAGAGATGGGAGCTTAATCTGATTTGCTTGCCTTTGTATGTTACACTTCCCTTTTCCCGAGCTGCTTTCAGGATTCTGTCCTTATCTTTGATTTTGGAGAGCTTGATTATTATATGTCTTGGTGATTGTCTTTTAGGGTCTATCCTTCCTGGCATTCATTGAGCTTCTTGAATGCTTATCTTTTTGCTTTTCAGTATGTTAGGGAAATTTTCTTCCAGCAGCTCTTCAATTATCTCCTCTGTGGACTTGTGTGATTCTTCCTGTTCTGGAAAGCCAGTAATTCTTAAGTTATTCCTCTTCATGTTATCCAACATGATTCTTAGGCCTTCTACAGATTTTTTATCCTTTTTGGGTTTGCTCTTCTATCTTAGTAGTGTTGAGAGATTTATCTTCTAACTCACTAGTTCCGGCTTCTGTCTCTTCAGTTCTACTCCTTTGCCCTTTCAGTGTATTGTCCATTTCTGATATTCTATTATTAATCATTTGGACCTCTTTCTGTAGGTTTTGAATTGTTTCCAATGCTCTATCTATCTTATTTGATTGTTCCTGTAACACTTTCCTGACTTCTTACTTATTTTTCTCAACTGCATTGCATAGTGTTTTGATACCTTAATTTTCGTGGTTCTGTCAGGTATCCTTGGCTGCTCTGATCCTTCCCCTGCTTGGTCTCTCCCAAGATAGTGGCTCTGGGAGCAGCTGAGCATCTTGAACTAGAAAGCAATAGATTTCTTGCTTCTGCTACAAATTCCCCTAGCTTTAACCCTTCCAACGTTCTAACTATTCCTTTATATGTGGTTCAGTGTTCTGGTACCATCCCCTGAGCCTGCTTGGTCTGGTATTCTGTGTTGTTGCTGATGGAGCTCCTCACTGCATTTCTACCTGATCCACCATCTTGTTTGTTCTCACCAATACTCTTTTTAAAAGGAGTTTTAAAAGTTGAAGAAGTGGTTGTTATTCAAGAAGATTTAGTGATTGGCAGGATGATATGGCTATAGTTAGTGGTCAGGCCAAGGCTAGAAGCCAGATGATTGAATTTTTTTATATAGTTTTCTTTCAGCTGTATGGGGCAAATCTCTGGGTACAATGGTGAATGTTTTCCATTTGGGACCAAATAAGCCTG